GTGTTTAATGTTCATGCAAGTCCCATGGTTTGGTGATAAATAGTGGGGGAGGGTGAGAAGTGCTGGTGATATGCCTTTATTACTAATGCTCCTTCTCCCTTGTTGTGGATTTAAAACCTAACCCAAGTGCTTTCCTGAAGCTAACTCCTGCAGCTCACTGGCCTTTCAGTATGTGGAGCTTTGCCTTATCTGTGTGTCTTTGCTTTTATTTTTCAGGATGCTGCACTGCTTTTTCTATTCCAAGCACCAAACCTGCCCCAGTTAGCAATGCTTTCTCCTTTCTAGGTCTAATGTTGTGTGTGTAACACAAACCAGACAGAAATGGCATGGAATGAAACCTCCTAATGGCTCCTCACTGGACACCTGGTCTAAAGGGAAAATGTAGTGTTTTGGGACAGGTGATGGCAAATAGCCTGGTGAATCCCTTGGTAAATCCCCAGTGCCAGGTCAGGCTGGACTCAAAGCTCATCCCAGTACTCTGTGCTGCTCCTCGTGCCGGGGAAATGGCACAGCTAAAGGATCTGATAGAGTTGAGCGATAACTGGACAGAATGAGGGGAATTTTTCAGCTGTATCACCTCCCTTTCTGCTTTGTAGAGAGCTGATCCTCCAGAAGGAAGAGGCTGGAGAAGCTGGAAGTAAATAGGTGGTAGAGAGAGCCTGGGTAACACAATGCCCAACAAACCACAGGCACAGGCTGCCTCAGAGCTCCAGGTTTAGCATGTTGCTTCCCAGGGACTCGGAGGAAATGCCTCCCAAGGAACCTGGTGCTGTGTGCACATGGGATCCTGTGGTTATCATGCCATGCACAGCTCTCACACCACATCTGATCCCCAGTGGGTTGAAGGTTCATGTTTATTCTGGTTACTTCATGGCTCGTGTTTCCATGAAATAAATTTTTCTGATGTCTTGCTTTTAGAACATGCAATTAAAATATAGCTGTGGTATCCTGTTGTTTAATCTGCAGTTTAGGTAAAAATTAGAGCTCAATTCCACATTCTTCATTTAGCAAAGCCTGCCAGTGGAAGGATTGATTTCTGCTAAGGAGCAGTGCCTTGGTATCAGCACCGTTTCAGCTGGGTGTGTTCTCTCTGGGTCCCAATGGGCTCCTCATTTAACTGCTTATTGTAGTACATGGAGAGTTGCCTTGGAAAACTTACCTTCAACTGCTGCTTTGACTGTGCTTGGATTTGTCTTAATCTTTGTTTTTTCCCCTCAGCTGTCAGCTGAGCCTTAATCTCCAGCAGCTTCTTGCTCTGCTTGTTTACTAGTTGGAGTATTAATGAGCATTGTTCTCACTGTCAGTGCTAATTGACTGAGTAGTTTTCAAATTGTCCTGTGTGCTCAATCCTTACTTTAGAAGACTCTGGATGAAACAGGCAAATTGGGCAAGTGAGAACAGTTAAAGAGAAATTTATTAAGTGCAGCTCCCCCAAATCTCTCTCCTGCCATCGAGGATGCTCCCAGGTTGTACCTCGAGGCTGGATAAAGAGATTCCTTCGTGTCACATAGTTCTGGCTTTGATGATGTGAAGAGTTCATGTGAACCTCTATGATGTCCTTTTTCCTGCTCTCCACAAATGCTTATTTCAAAAAGCTGATTGAATCCCCTGAATGCAGACAGAGATTACAGTAGGCATTTTGCAGATAACAAGGCTCTAAAACCAGAGCTACTGGAATTCCCCTTCTCTTAATTAAATATTAAACTCATCAGGAAAACTTAAATGCCTAAGTATCAGTTTGAAAGAAATTCTAGCTCTGTCTAACCCAGTGCTTTTTGCAGGCATTGAAAAGGACATGGAAAATCACTGTCAGGAGTACAAATCCCAATGTCAATTTTTTCCAGGAGTCATATAAGAATCCATATCCAGATAACAAGCTGTCTGTGCTTCCCTGCTGAGCTCAGTTCAATGGGAGAAGCATCAGACCCCAGATTATCTCTCCAAAGCAAGCCCAGTTTCAAACTGTAATTTTTTAAGCACGCATTAGTCAAAGCAGATCCATAATCCCCCATCAATATTAACTCCCATCCTGGGAGCTGCACAAAGCCCTTCCTAAACATCAGGATTGCTTCAGTTGATTTGATCAGATGGAATATTAAAAACCAAACAGGAGGAATGTTGGGGGTTTTTTTGCTTTGGAAAATCAGCTTGATGACAAATGTTACCTTATGTGTGATATTTGTGTGTTCTTTGCCTTATTTTGTGCATTTTAGAGGCCTTTTGTTTGATGAATCCCATTAATATGTACGTTCCCTAGGTGAAGGGATCGGGAAGATGGCAGATGCAGTAAAGCCCACCCAAAGGTTTCACCCCATTGAGGCACTTGAGCCTGGAACTGAGTATACAGTTCGTCTAGTGACTAAGAATTGGGTTGATAACAATAGCATTTTTGAAGATGTAATTGAGACAAGGGGGAGAGGTGAGACATGAAACCCTTTGAGGTGCTAAACTTTCTTGTGAATGTGACTCAGTGTTGAGGTTCCATCTGGATTTGTGCAGTGCAAGTGTTCCAAACCCGTTGTTTTGTGCTGTGGTTTTAAAGTTGAGCTTTGCAGTTGAATCTCATGGGAGCACAAATGCATCCACAGCTCTTGGCCAGGCCTGTACACTGCTCCTCACAGCCTGGAGCAGTTACCAACCCTGACAAACCAGTGTTCCCTCCTCTGTGACTTTCAAAGGGAAATGCTGTGATATAAGCCACTCTGAGTGTGCCAGTCCAGTGATTTGCATGTACTGGAGGCACTTTTAACTCTCTCTCTGTCACAAAACTGCTTTTGCATGAGATGCATAACAAGTCTCTGCTCGGCTTTTCTCTGTGGTGTTAATCCTGTGAGTCAACTGCTCTCTCAGAATTGCCTTTGCAGAGTGTCTGTGTTGTGCCTTGTAGACTGTGTGTTCCCCTTAAGTCCAAGAATGTCACCCTCTGGACATATTTCTGTCTTATATTTGCATTGAAGCCATAAGTAGTGACTGACTCATCCAGTTAAGACCAGGGAAGAACATGTGATGTATTCATGTCATCACAGGGTGATAACATTTTCTGTGATTGATTTGCTTGTTTTTTCCCTCCTTTTCTGCTGCCCCAAGCCTATGCTGGCGTTTACGACGGGCTTTCCACGCAGGGCTGGTTCATTGGGCTGATGTGTGCCATCGCTCTGCTCACCCTACTGCTGCTCACTGTTTGCTTTGTCAGAAGAAACAAAGGAGGCAAATATTCAGGTAAATGGATTTATTGTCTTTTTGCTATGTTCACATGTTAATAACCAACATCCTTCAGACTTTGCTCTCTGGAGGCTGCAAAGCCTCAAGCACAAACATCCAATTAGGCTTTGTAGCTTTTGATAAATATCTGCAGAATGGATTTTAATGAATCCAAGTGAACTGTGTTCTCTGGGTGAGACAGTGCTGTGTACTGGGCAAAGAGCTTGCTAAGGCCTTTGACAGTGCTTTTGAATCTTCTAGCATTTAATCCAGTTAGAGAGTCCAGGTCCATCAGGAGTTGTTCCTCTGAGCCTCATTGCAGGGCTCCCTGCTCACCTTCCACCTGGTAACTGCTGCATGACACATTGCCAGAGCTTCCCCAGGAAGCCAGACTGCTGAACAGGACATATTTTGTAAAAACAATGCAGGAATTTATTTAGGAATGAAAAGGGTTTAAGTGTAATTCTGGTTGCCCAGAGCAGCTGTGGCTGCTCCATCCCTGGAGTGTTCCAGGTTGGATGGGGCTGGAGCAGCCTGGGCTGGTGGGAGGTGTTCCTGCCCAGGGCAGGGGATGGAATGAGAGGCTCTCTAAGGTCCTTTCCAACCCAAACCAGTAGGGAAGGGCCTCAACCCCTTGGTTGTGTCCAACCAGTTCCAGGTCAGGCTGTAGGTGATGATAAGTGGTTTTCCAGTTGGGAAAAGGAAGGTCTATAGTAGAACACAACACATAGCTCTGTCCTTTTTTTTTAATTTGCACAGTGAAAGAAAAAGAAGATTTGCATCCAGATCCTGAAGCTCAATCAATAAAAGATGAAATCTTTGGGGAATATAGGTAAATAGGAGCTGCTTTCCCAAGCTTTTGTGTTTGTTGGGGTTCTGTCTGTTTCCAAATGTCATCCTTATTTGGGACATTTTTCTGGCATGCAATTAATGCTCTGTTTCATGTTCAAAGCAAACCTCCATAGGAGAGGATAAGATTAGGAATCTAAAGGTATATCCAGTATCCTTCAGTCCATCCAAACTGGGATATAAGGAAATGTTGATGTATTGGTGGTTGTTTTTCACTTCTTTTTGTTTGTTTTTTTTAAAATTAGCATTGTATGAATAATGTAAATATATTTGGTGCTTTGGGTTCCTGCTGTAGTGTCCACTGGAGTCAATGGAAAGAATGCTCTGTCTTCAGTGGGTTCCAAGCCCAGTCAGGCCCAAATTGTGCAATATGGGGAATAGTCATTTTTGTGGGAGACGACAAAGTTTGAAACACAGTGAAAAATATCAAAACACCTCCCAAAAAACCCCTCACTACAGAAGTTTCTGTAGGAGAATTGAAATAACCACTTTGGCTGCTGTAAAATTACTAAAACTTACAGTAATATTGAACTGTGATATAAAGAAAAATACACCACTATAAGAATGCTGGAAAACTGGTGTCATTGGCCTTAAGGGCAGAAAATTGCTGTTGAAATCCAACTAATATATACTACATTATTTGTACTGGAACAGGGCTTTTTTTTTCTGCATAATTTCATCTTTATTTAATTTTTAATGCTTTCTAATGGGACAAATATTTAGAAAGGTAAGAAAGTCCTGAGGTTAATAACCTTGACCCTTTTCTTTCCCCCTAAAATCCAAACTTGTCTATTTTATAAAGAGAAATTCCCTGTCCAGGAAAGTGGCAAATATTTTTTATGTATTCATTGTACACATTATTGAGTATATGCTGAAGGGGTAAAGTTCAGTTTCATTTCTCTGTCCTTCCTTAGGTGATGTTAACAAAGCTTTGACACTGAGTTGGCATCAGCAAGGGCTGTCATTGAGTAATTCTGTCCCTAGTTCAGAGGCCTGATTTAGTTTTTTGTGTAATCTTTTGTTGTATACTCCCAGTCCCCCAAAATGTCCTGGTCAGTCAGGAGGAATCAGGATGCTCTGGTTCTTCTGCAGTGCCATTAGGAGGAATCACCAGTGGAATTCCTCCTTTTCCCCTGAATTTTGGTCAGTCCTTTCTCATTACATTTCTATCGAACACTGACTGCAGATCCAGACTCTGATGCTGCTTTTGGCTTTCCCTTTAGCAGGGAGAAACTCCATCAGTTATAGTAACATAAAATAACAGCAAAACAAATGAAAAAAAAGAAAGAAATCACTTGGTTAGTCATCTAAACTCAAACAAAGGCTCAAAAAGCAGTGAGGTATAATCTCCAGGTGATGCCTCCACCCACTTTCCATCAGATCAGCCACCTGAAAAGGAAAATACAATAAAGCCCTGAATACTGCCCAGTGCTCTGTGAGATGAAAATGTCTCTCCCAGTAAGGTGGTAAGACTTTACATCAGCCCTGATGTCTGGAACAGAGCCCTCAGATCCTGTCCAGCATTCCCCTTCCTTTCCCCTTCCCTTCCTGTCCATTCTTCTGCCTAACCAGAGCAAACAGAGGGCAAAACCCAAACCACACAAGGAGTTCTCCTTGATCTTTGCCTTTTCAATCAGTTGACTGGCTAAACAATGCCACAGCTGAGGTCAGTCTCACCTTTCTGAGGTGCACCAGGACAGGAGTCCCAGGGTCAATGTACCACCCACATGATGTTTCCCTCACTCTTCCCTCCTTCCTTTCCCAATAAGAGAGGAGTTTTCGGGCTTGCTGGATTTTTGGCAAGGCATTTCTTTGTTTTGTAGTGACAGCGATGAAAAGCCCCTGAAAAGCAGCCTCCACTCAGTTGATGGGGACATTAAAGCCACTGGAAGTGCTGATAGTCTGGTAGATTATGGAGAAGGGGAGCATGGGATGTTCAATGAAGATGGGTCATTTATTGGAGCTTACTCTGGATCCAAGGAAAAAGGATCGGTGGAAAGCACTGGGAGTTCGACGGCGACTTTTCCTCTCCACGCCTAAACTCTTAGCAGGAACGATTGGTGTTTTATTGTGATATTTATCTTGATTAGTACTTCACAGGCCCCACAAGTGATGGAAGCAGGTTGCCAATTGAGCCAGTCAGGAACCTGACCTCCAGGTAATACCAAGTCACTGCCACTAAGAGATGATTTTCCAGTCTATTTTCTAGCTGTTTTCCTCTAAATCAATCAAAACAAGTAATTCTTTACTGTACAAAATGTCTTACCAAACCAGAATTTCTCGGTCTGTATCCTAAAGTGCTACTCCTTGAGTTTCTTAGGCTTAGAATATGTTTCTCTTTGTGGTATTTTGTTTCCTGTATGGCTGTTGTCACTTTGTATATCCTTTCCTACATAGAATTCTCCCACACCTGCCATGGCCTTGGTTATGAGCTAGAGGAAGCACCTTAGGTGCTTCCTTTCCCTTGAGGGGGTGTTGTCATAAACACAAGCAAGTCAGCCAAAACAAACCAGTTCCTCTGCAAAGTGACACAAGAATCCTACTGAGAAAAATGATAATTTCAAATACCAGAGAAATATATTCTGTATATTCTATGATTTGTCTCAAAGAGTTAAACTCCTTTGTCTGTGATGCCCTAAAAATCGTTGTAGTGGTTCCAGCTGGCTGCAGTTACCAATACTTTGGGATGCACCTTCATCCACGGGAAGCATTGCTCTGCAAACACCAGCGTCTGGCCGTGTGCATGAAGCTGCTGCCAGTAGCTGGCACTATGTCCTTAAGTAACTTAAGCTGCAGCATCTTTCCTGTGGCAAGGCAAAACAGGGTTCCCATCCTCCACCGCTCACAAGCGTTTTAATTTGCTCTCTCCAGTCTCTGCAAGCTGCATTTCTGAGCAAAAAATCCTTGTGTCTGTCTCATATTTGTATATTTGTGAGCTAGCAGGCATTTCATGGAGACATTGTACATATGATATTGATATTGACACGAGTCAAAATCAGCCTTGTTTTCTTTGGAGCTGAGACGTTGCTAGCATGGGTCTGTATAGCTGTGTAGGAATGAATAGATTTGCTTCTCAATATGAATTTGGACCAGCAAAACTAGTTTGCAGAAGGAGTTTTGTGTATACCGATCAGCCAAATCTCACACCTTTCTAGGATCACCTAAACTAGCCCTACCTGATTTCAAGAAATCATTTATTTTCCAATTCTTCACTGTTAAAAAAACAAAAGGAAGGCAAAGAGAAGATAGATATTCTGGTAGTTTATTTTCTATTTTGTAGACTGAATGCTGGTTTCAATCTGGGTCTTTCCTTTGCCTCTCCAACACTCACTCAGCAAAGCTGTACAGCACATTTTTTTGGTCTTTTTGTATTGGAATCTCCTGAAGGTCTTTAATAGCATTTGTATTTTTCAATCTCCTGATTTGAGTAGAGTCTCGCTATGGCTTTGTTTCTTCTTGCACTTACACTGTCACTTCTGTTATAATGTGTTTCAAATAGTCACTGCAGGAGGAGTTAGGTCCTAAAAGCTGTTTTGCATCCTGATAGTAATTAGCCAAAAATCCCCAGTGGCTCATTCAAGGGCTCCATGACTTCAGTGGAAGGAAGAGAGGAAGCAGGAATTACTCACATGGGTATGAGTTTCCAGTAAGGGGAAAGTCCTCCCATTAAGCCCAAGATGCCCACAAAAGTGCAGGTTGTTCCCAGAGGGTCACACACAGCTCCTCTTCGGCTGGGGATGCTCTTCAGAGCTTGGCAGTTTCTGGAAGCCTTCGGTGCTCGATGCTTCTGCATATCTGTGCCTCCTGGTTTGCTTCATTTTAGCTTTTAAGGGTCTTTCATGAAACCTCTGTTTAGGAGAAGTAACCCAAACCAGCCAGCCTGAAGCCCTTACGTGTGAGTACAAAGGATGAGTGTAAATCTGCCTCGGAACAAAACTCACCGTGTCAGTGACCCAAGTCGTTTCCTCTCTGTTCTTCATAAAGCTTTATTTTCTGCATTTCACTCAGTCCAAACACTGAAGAAGTCCAAACTCCTTTTCATGTGGGGGAAAAAAAGCCCTTTTCATTTTCAAAAGAAGGGAGAGCACAAGTGGAGAAACATGAAAATTGGCATCTGCTCAACGGAGACGTTTCCCAGCAGCATCTTTATCTGCTGACTCGTGTCTGCTGCAGCCCAAACCTGATACAACCTGAGCACTAATTAGGCTCGTGACAATCTTTGCTACAAGCTTCAGGCTGCTGTTAATATTTCCTTTAGGAATCATCCACGGTGATCAAGGACCTTTGAAACAGGAATAAAATTAGGAAGTAAAATTAGGGTGAGCTCTCCCACATCCTCTCTGACCCCTGTGTGCAGGGGGTTGAGGACAGGCTGTGCCTCATCCATTTGGGTCCTTTGGGTCACTGCACATCAACCAGAAAATTCCTCTGCGAAACAGACACAGCTTTGAAATCCTGTTAGGGAGTGTCAGATTCTGGCCTAGTGACTAGAAATACCTGTGCTCCCACGTGCTCTGTTGCTGCTAAGAGCTGTTTGTGCTGTCCCTGTGATGTGCTACTCAGCTGGGCCACAAGGACTGCTTGTGTTTTCTACTCAAATTTGAATTCACAGCCCTAAAATCTTACTGGGGGGTGGGTCTCAGTGCCTCAGGGCCTGGAAATCAAGCAGGGAGCAAAAGATGTGCAGTGGAATCTGTACACTACACACGGAGTTTTGAGGAATACGCCCAAGGAATATTAACCAAATGGCTCAAACTCCCAGGGAATCCCTCTCACCTGAGCTGTTTTGTCTTCCCCAGTCATTTCTTTTCCCCTTTCTTTGCCCCCCACCAGGGTTTCATTTGGTGGTTACCACTCACAGTGTGGCTTGGAAAGTGCAGGACACTGAGGAGTTTTGGGTTTGCTTTCAGAAGTGAAGCACCAGAGCAAGGTGAGAGTTCCCTAAGGAGTTTTTGTCATTGCAAGGAGTCTGTGGCAGGTGCGTGGCCCAGGAGGCTCAAGAAAAAGTATCAGCAGCTCACAGAGTGCCCTAAGCCGGGAGAGGCTGTCACAGTCCAACTCCTGACCCTGCACAGGAGAGCCCCGAGGATCACACTGTGCCCTGAAATAGGACAATAAATCCTTTTCTTTTCCCCTCTGGCCAGGAGTGTTTATTCAAGTGAGCTGGTGCAGCCTGTGGTGATTTCAGTCCCTGGGAGTCGCTGGTTGGAGGAGGGAATCCAGCTGTGTGAGATGGTGCTGGACAGGAATTACTCATTCCCCTGTGCCATGGCTCTTGGCCATTTGGTTATGATACACCTTTGCCTTCTGCCTCAGCAAAGTGTGAGAGGGAAAGTGACACTTCCAGATTTGATGTCTAGTCAACCTGGGATGGAATTTCATCCAGCAAGGTGGAAGGATTTCACTGACCTGGCGAATCTTGGCTGGTAGATTTAAGCAGCCCCTGGAACAAGGGAGAAATGGGGTTTTCTCCAAGAGTTGTGCAGTTTTGACTGTGCAGGAGATGAAGCAAATAAAATCAGCTTTTCTTGACTAATGGGGAAAAACCCAACCCTCTGTCCCTGTTCCTGTGAGCAAACAGCTCCAAACGAGCTGTTTGGATTCAGAGAGCAGCAGAATAGTGATTTGGTACGAACAGGAATCCCAGTCCTTATTTTCCCCCTGATTTGTCTATATATTTTTCTATATACTGTAATTTACACAATCAAGAGCTTGTAGGAATGGACCAAGCTTCCTCCTCTAGCAAAGTTTAGGGATCCAGACTCCAGAAATCCACCTCAGGCTCAACTCTGCTGGATAACGGTAGGATAACGGTACAGGACTGGGTATGGAATCCCTGCTGGGATTGGATCTTTAGCAGAGGAGAATTAGGAATCACATCCCCTCTGGATAAAATTGTTTGTGCATATATAAAAACCTTCTTTGCAACTCAAGATTTAAATGGCTCTTATTAGCATATCATGTAATGATTGATGAGATTTGTTTCGTTGTGTTCAGGTTCCCCAGATTTTAATGAGTAGCTCTTTTCCTGGTGACTACTTCCATGGAGGAGTGGATCTGACCCAATGCACAAGAGGTTTCAATAAAAGCTCTCAGGCTGATAAGCTTTTTGAGATGCAAGTAAACATTAGCACAATCTTTCTGTACAAAAAAAAAGGTGGTTTTTTTTAAAAACACTAATTCCATGCAGTTTGGTAAATGAAAGTTAGGACAAGTTTCACTCATCCTGCAATTTCTGAAAGGAAATCTCATCCTAATTTTTATAGCCATTATTTTGCAGGTGGGGGGAATATTTACATCATTTTACTTCCCTGTAAGAACAGCTAGGAAGGAAATTCTTCCTGGAGAATTCCCTCTGCTTGCGCTGGCTCATCCCCCCAGCTGCACCCCTGGCAGTGCTTAGGATTTCAACAAAGCACCGTCCAACGGAGTCCCAGGACATGTTTACGTGGCAGCTCGGGGTCTCTCCTGTAAAATCTCAAGTGACCTGCACTGACTCTTTCTGTCTTCAGGCAGGAACCCCTGGGTGGGTTGGAGCCAAAGCATATTGTCTGTTCTGTTTGTTCTTCTTACTTTCTACCAGATACTTTGTCATTTCATGAGGAAAAGATCAAAGCAAATGTGTTGTCACTGTCACAATGTCACTTTTTGGGGAGCTAAATGTTAGTGTGCATTGATTAAAGGGTAGAGAACCGTGTTGTACTGTAGTTGCTGTTTGTACCACGCAGGTGTGCACGTATGGTTTGAAAAGATATTTTCATTTGACATGAAATACAACTTTGCTAATAAAAGTTCAACTTGATGTAATCTTCAAAAGCCTTAGCTGTGATCAGCAAGTTTCTCTTTGCTTTGGGTTGGGGTGTTTTCTTTCACCTGATACCATTTCTTTGCTGGTATTTATTTGTCACAGCTCCCTCCAGCCTATGGTTTGTGGTGGGGTTTAGGCTTCACACCAAGGCTGAGCTGCCCCTGGCCTGTCAGACACTGTGGACCAACATCCTCAAAGGTACAACAGTGGCTCAGGATGAACCTGGCCTGCA